AGAGAGAGAGAGAGAGAGAGAGAGAGAGAGAGAGAGAGAGAGAGAGAGAGAGAGTTGGCACGCTGTCCACGAAGTGATTCTGACACGTGCTTCTCGGTTTCTTCTCTGGCTTTTGTATTCCAGGAAATACTCCAAGATGCACGCCCAGCGTTACGGCTCACGTGACAATACTACTTCCAACAACTACCCCCGGCTAATAGCAACTTCGCAGCAGATTGGATGCTGACGACTCCATTCGTATAGACAAAGCCTGCTTAACGACAGTGGCACCCCTATAGTCGAAGGCGAATTCCGACAACTGCCCCCGGCCAATTCTCAATCACACCATCTCGGCCCACCGAACTGAGAGTCACACACACACACACACGCACACATGCAAGTGCACACGCACGCATAGACAGTCAGAACTCAGCAAGTGAGCACATGGAATACATATCACAAACATATTCAGAAGAACACATCAAACAGAGTTTTAATCTGAATCTTGCGCAAACAGATTATAGGACCGCATTTTCTCAAAAGAGTTCAACTTCTCGTACTGCAACTGTGCCGGTAATTCCACACAGCGCAAAACAGAACACGATGCTGAGACGGTAAGAGCTTCCCGAAGTAAACGATGGCATTCCCTCCTGTTTTCTTGCAAGCAAAACTGCAGCAGGTCATCTAGTTCCTGTTGCCGTCCCTGTTCCGGCTCCTGATCCGGTTCTTGGTTCTCCATTAGAATGAGCCCGTCCGGATGCTAGTTGTCGTACGGGGGTAATTGTGGTTAACGCGGGGAGCCATTGGTATCACTGACTGTCTGGCTTTGTTGCGCCCTCCCGTGCGCCCTTTACTTTGTCCACCTTCTCGCATGTGACGTTGGACCGCCCCTCCTCACTGTCATTGTCCGCCCTCTCGCCTGCCACTCACTCGCACTTCCTCGGGTTCTGCTCGTGCTGCGATCTGTGTCCTTGTCGGTGGGAGGAAGGGAATAGGGAAAGGATTAACGGAGTGTGTGCTGCGGGAGCGCGTGACAATGGAGTTCTCGGAGTTCTACAAGGACTTAACGGTACGCGGATTCCCACCGGTCCTCGTATAGAGCGCGGGGCCATTATGTGTATTCAGTGGAATTTTCAGGCCACTCCCTGCCCTATTTTCTGTAAGATGGGACGGAATGTAAATAAAACAGGAGGAGGTGGAAGCGAACAAACAATAAAGGCATAATGGCAACATGTATGTATTTGCAAATATAAGGTGCTCAGCTTTATTGGTGAGTTTTTGAAAGCACAAGCAGTCTGAGCATGGAGAAATAAGGAACTACGTTGTTTACAACGCGGAACAAATGTCAGCGAGTTTGGCCAGAAAAACAAGGTTGCAGCAATGAAAACAGTTTACCCCGTTAACCGCTGGTGAGCGAGTCTTAGCTCAAAATGGGAAGTTTCACTATGATTATGATAGATCAGAGCATTGGCGACGGCGGTGGGACACCTGTTAAGAAAAGATGGAACAGGCGAGAGAAGAGAACACAGCAAGCAGTCACACCCTGTCGCCTGGCCGGGCGTCTCTCTCTCACAGACACAGAGCTCTCACCTAGAACTCCTCTCTCTCGGGCACTCCGTCTCTCTCACTCATACACACACACACAGAGCAGGAGGTATAGGAGAATGTTGCTAATCTTGTTTCTGCGGCGTGCCTGCATGCATGTGTTAGATGGTGTGACATATGTGTGTGTGTGTGTGTGTGTGTGTGTGTGTGTGTGTGTGTGTGTGTGTGTGTGAGAGAGAGAGAGAGAGAGAGAGAGAGAGAGAGAGAGAGAGAGAGAGAGAGAGAGAGAGAGAGAGAGAGAGAGAGAGAGAGGCCTCTTATACACATCTAGATGTGTATAAGAGACAGGAGAGAGAGAGAGAGAGAGAGAGAGAGAGAGGCTGTTCGAGTGATGTGATTTGATCAAATTTGAGCTAGTCTTTTCTTTCGCGTGTTGTTAAAGTGGCCCGTCCTTCTATTATGTTCATCCGATTTCATCAGGATTCGCTCACACTTCCTGCTTACTAAGATGCGTGTATCACTATCAATTTAAGGGGGTACCCCCTAAGATGGGTATGTCCGTCTGATTCCGTCGGGATTTGAACTCATGGTCCGGCTGTCTCATTTTGTTTCTCCCCTTTTTCCTTGCTTACTCTGTTCCATTTAGGTCAATGTGGCGTGACACTTTTTTTCCTCTCACGTTCTTAGAGATGACCAGTGCGAGGATTCCTGTCACGTTCTCAGAGATGACCAGTGAAAGGACCCGCAGGCTGGGAATGTGGTGGACGCCCATGAGGATGATAACAAGCGCCCGCAGAAGGTGGTACTCGTCAGGGCACGCTGATCCCCGTGATTCAGCAGGCAGGCAGGGAGGCATTGGGGCAGGCCGGTAGGGAGCAGGCTGGCGATCCAACAGGCAGGCATGCATTTGTGCGTAGGTGTAACAAGCACTGGATGGAGCAAGGAGGAATGGAAGGACGTGACTGGGACGATGAATGGATGCTCTGAGAAAAGTAGCACAGCAAACTGCATGTCAAACTCAGATACATGTTTGGACCGAAGTACAGCAAAAGGTGTCACAGCGAGGTGCCTGGTGCCTGGTTGTACGCATATTGGGGATCAGTGTAATGGGTAGGCTGGCTGCCGTGCTTCGTCCGGAATAAACCGGTACCAGAAGGCTAACGATGGGAAAACATCTGAGGGACATACTTTTTATATTTTGAACACGTTCGATCTTATTACCAATCTGAGCCCAGCGAAGGTCCAGAAGTATGAAATGTGCTCGTGCAGAGAATATGCCAGAAAAGTAAATTAAAGGTCCTGTACCCAGCAAAGGTCCAGCGATTGGGTCCTGCACAGAACGTAATGCTACCATGCAACATGCCACAAGTATCATTCCTCTCAGGAAACTGCCAGAGAGGAGTCTCCTGACAAGTCAGGCCCATCCCTGCCGACAGGGAAAAGGGACCTGTGGCTGTTGGATTGTCAATCCAATGGACCAACTGAAAAAGGGTGCGCCGCCTGGCAACCAGGGGGTGCATGAACAGAGGGCGACTTCGTGCAAAGGGCCGATTCTGAAACTTTGTTCCCCATGAGGGTTCGCGAGGTTGTGTGGCGGGGGAAAACGAGTGAAGAACTTGTTCGTTTGCCATGTGGTGAGGACCTAGTGCCTTTTTGTAGCCTCAGACAGTAGAATATATAACTAACCCAGACTGGTTTGATGTGTCCTGGCTCGGAGTGCGGGGGACTTGTGCTCCTCTTTGCAGAGAAATCAGGTGAACTTTAATGTTGGTTCACTGTTTGAAATATGCCACAATATCCAGTGGCCTAACTCAGTTGGTAAGGCATGTAAGTGGCATTCAGGAGGTCGTGGGTTCAATCCCCATTGGCCTCATGTACCTTCCTGGGCATGCTTGGCGCCCGCCACCTAGAGATAGACCACTGGATCCCCCAATCGGCATTGAGCAGAGTCTGCTGATGTTCGTAGGGGAGGGGAGCTGAGGGGAGGCACAGGGATTGGTCCTGTTGGTATGGTCCCTGATTCTACTGGCTGTCCCCTACCCGGTATCGCCCACCTGCAGGTCGGGATCAGCCCCCGCATGTTCTCTCGTGAACACGGTTCTGGCTGCTACGGGGTTCCCCATATGCCTACAATTAGGAGTAGTG